ATGAGAAAAGGGAATACACCTGAGCGATCATGGGCAACCTAGACGATTTCATGTTAAGGCCTGTTCTTGTTTTCCGCAAAAAAAAAAGAAACCAGCAATAGCACACATCGAAAACAAATTCCCATCATCTTCACACCGCTGTTCCTTCAGATTTGCAGAGTACTTGAATGTTCGTTTCAACACATGGAATCAAGAGGATTGAAAGTCAATTTGCACGACAGATCTTTATTGGTGGCCTTTCGTTTCCCAACTGCTGGTGCAATACAACAGAAATGGGATCTGTCCTTTGTCAATTTCTCTCATATTCCCTGTTCGCATATGCACCGCGCGAACAGGCCCACTCGACCACATAGGGACAGCACAGCTCACGCAAGGCTCACAACCCGCTGCGCTAGAGCCTTGCCTCGCCCCAAAAATACCAAGTTGACAACCAGCGACAACCCGGTAAAGATTCGTGGCAACTGCCGAACCGGAGCGGTATCAACGAAAACCAGCAACTCAAATGCCAATATTTGCTAAAACTGCCAAACAATTAACGCCCGCAGGCCCGCGCACACGTCCGCACGGCCACTATACTACGTTTGGGATCGATCCATTCTCACCTCAGACATATGCTCATCATAAGATAATTGGGCAGAAAAGGACTCGGGCAAGAAATACTTGAGCCACTCTAGGAGGCGAATCTAACAGATCCGACATGGAAACAAGCCCAAGACCTCCATCCGAATTGTACTGGGCACAGGTAAGTGCTCTGCGTAACATCAGCCCTCGGAGACACCACTATACAACAGGCACACCTTTGCAGAATCAGGAGGTACACGCCAATAACTTATTTGGGCTGCGCACTCTATCCAAATATGGGCAATGCCAGTATTTACAGTGCGCAGCAAGAGGCATCATGAATAACAGACCAAGCGTGAACGGTAACACTTTGGACATTCCCTCTCCTCCAATCAGTTTCTCCAAGTTTAAAGATCGTCGGAAAACCGAAGTCAGCCTTGCCAGCGTTGGCGAAGAGAATTCAAACTGCAAAACCAACAAGTTGTTTACTTGAAAGAAATGTATTGTTTTTTACGAATATTTTACGTTTCCTTTGTTGTCATAACGAACATTGTAATCTGCGCTTTGAAATGTAATGGCAAAATTGAGAAAAATGCGGGACTCCTTCGTGTAAAGTCTGAGAATATATCAAATACAATCTGAGACAGATTGAGGATGAAAATGATGCACAAATCCCCCATGAATATATGTAAGAGAGTCTGTGATTAACACCAGCAATAACAAACTGCGACGTTGCGTATGGCCAGAATACTCCCCAAGGTGAGAACAAGAGAAGTCCACAAGCACATAGGTATCGAGTGGGAATCAAACAATCGTATAGCAATGACTAGCAGCACTGACAACCGCGCGCCGCGTCAAAGATATATATTCGCTCAAAGTGTCTCATAACTCCCAAGTTCAGCAACACTTTATAATTAAAAGCCACTTAAGACGTATTATCGACATCGTCCAATGGTGGAGAGAATGAGTAACATAAAGAGTGTTGACAAATCGAGTTCTAGTTCTGTTGCGCTACCTGTTAGTTCTACGAAGCATAATCCGATTATTCTCTTCAAGTTGGCGTTAATTTCTAGCGACACCGCCGACAAGTGTTGCGTTCTGTGGCCCATGTTAAACTAGTATCGACTACAAAATAGGTTAGAACTACCACAAGATAATCTTAGTTGACCCTAACAATTGACCTCGCATGAGACTTGTATACAATTCAACAACGTTAGCAACTGACAGATGAAATCGATTGAGAAGCTAACCGATGACGATCTCGGCGTGTCTTGGTTCTGGTGGGCCATGTTTATCCTACGGCAGAGTAAGGTGTTTTCTCATGCTGTCTACTTGTGTGGTATCTATCTCCCACTACGGAGTACGTTCCTAGTGGTGTCCAAGCTGTTAGCTTCTAGAACAGCCCACGACGATAGTCTCGAGTTAGTTCTATTCTTGTTGTC